AAAAAAAAAAAAAAAAAAAGGAGACAACTGTAATAGTTGGATTTTAAAATGCCTTTCTTGTCTTTGCTCAAGAGAACTGCTCTTTGTACCTCACCTAACACGCCAGCTCACTGGAGAGCCAAGCCAAGCTGTGTCAGTTCACCTACTATGTAACATGTAGTTTACATGGAGAATGGCACCCCACAATGGGAAGTTGTGTTCTACCTTCTGAATGATCTTCAGATGAGTAATGGGATAAAGAAAATGCAATTTAAAAGATCGTCACTGAGAAAGTCCACTTCTGGAAGTAATGATTCAAGTACGGCTGAAAAAGTACACTTGTTTTACACCAACAGAGCATCCAGGAGTGTGCCAAGGTCTGAGAGAATGGCCTGAACAGTTCCATTTCATGACAAAAGCAGCTGATGAACAGGACAGGGTGCTGGCTCTCTGCAGTTGTTGTGATAGGCTTTTCTTGGCCATTAGGCATTGATCTTCCCCCACTGGGTCCACCTCTCCTGGTTGAGACTGTTGTGATTCCTAAAGGGACATGGGCTCCATCAGGAGCTGTGTATCCAGACTGGAAGTGATGGTAAAGAGATGATAAAGTGATATAAACGGATGCCAGGGTGGCATAGAAATAATAAGTGTGCACAACACAGTATGAGTTTTGTCATTGGTTTACCCATCTTTTTATTTCTCGTCTATTTTTTTTTATATATTTTAAAGCTCATTAAACGCAGAAATCACAATCTAACCATGAACTTTTGCTATTTTCTTGATCCCGTAAAATTTGTTTCTGAAGTGTAAGTATCTCCTAATTAAGAAAAAACTTGTAATGGGAATGGGATATTTAGTTAAGTACCTGAAAAAGTTGGGAAAAAATTGGCCACACTTTTAATAAATAACTTTTGGTGTCTTTTTTTTTTTCCCTGTGTGACTGTAGTCTATGAGTCTTATAGAGATTGGGAACCCCTCACAAAGTCTGGAGAACGTGTGTCGCTGGGCCTACTTGCAGCAGAAACCCGACACTGGGCACGCCGAGTACCACGACCACGCCATCTTCCTCACCAGGCAGGATTTTGGTCCATCAGGCATGCAAGGTGTGTGTCTGGGTTTGTTTTGCATTTGCATTTATTACTGAGCCAGGCTAGTCACGTACAGTTTAATTGTGTCTCTTTTGCTGAGCTGTGCTCAGTGTTTTCTTTCCCCCAGAGCTCTGCGTTGGGCCATTTTCAGTCGTAACTGCTTCATTTGTTATTTGATCCTTTCTTACTGATTACCTATTGGATCATTTCTGTGTTCTTACTGAAGCAAAGAAAATGGGATACATATGTAAACAGTCCTGGAAATGTCCAAAGATTAAATAATAGATTTTGTGTTTAAAAAGTTCCAAAAGCTGTTGCTGTGTTATAGCCAAATTGCAAGAAATGTGGTTATGGAGAGGTCTGGAACAGTAGGGCCAAGCACTGTCCACTTTTTCCTTTTTTCAGACCTCTGCCTCCTGTGAGATTAGGTTTTCACCAGAGGGGAGAAATCTCAGAGCTTTCCCATTAATTTTGAGTTGGCCAGAACTGCTGTCAACTCAGGGCTGGGGCTTGAGGGCTGGTATTGGCTTCTCCATAGAGCAGCATGTGGTGTTCTTTTTCTCTGTTGTCTTATGTCTTAGAAAAGGCAATCATAGGGCAGTCCAAAGAGGTGACAAGAATTTTATTGGTGAGCCAGGAAGTTTTCATTTGTTCAAGGCTGGTTTCATCTGTTTCCTAGATGAAGGAGCACATCATTAAATGTTTGGGGGCAGAGGTCTTGAGAGGACCACTTCAACTGTACTTGTGTGACAACAGAGGACAGAGCTCACCCTAGAGCTTCCCACCACGTTGATTTTTCTGTACTTGCTCATTTTGTGAAACACTTTGTGTTTCTCACAGGCTATGCTCCTGTCACTGGGATGTGCCATCCTGTCCGCAGCTGCACTCTCAACCATGAAGATGGTTTTTCATCTGCATTTGTGGTGGCTCATGAAACAGGACATGTGTGAGTACAGCTGGACATCTGTGTTGTGCCTTAAATGGCTTTTGGTACAGCCAAGTACTGATGACATTGAACATATGCAATTGATGTTAAGAAACAATATTTAGGGTTAGCTCTGGTTTCAGGTCTCAGCTCTCACAAAGCTTTCTTTATGGTCTTAAGTAAGCTTTATATTTTGGGATTTTCAAATGGGAAAAAAGAACTAATACCAAAATATCTTCCAGGGCTGCTGTGGGATTGATTGAATGATGTATTGTAGTCTCCTGGTGGAAATGAAAAGTACCCATAATAAAGAAATATGAATTCACTGAGTCAGTGAAACACAGTATTCTTGCAATCAATCCATACTAAATAAGTACATAATCTGTGTATGTTACTGTTGATAAAGAAAGCAATACTGTATAGAAGTGAGGTGCCAAACACTGCAGTTACAACTGTTCTATATATCTCACATAAAAAATGCAATCATTTTACCTGTTGACATGATTTGAACCCATGCCTGGGCAGCAGTTGTCAGAGCTTTGGTTTTTCCCAGGTCTTTTTAGTTTCCCTGTTTTCCCTCCAGAGAACTCCCACTGATTTCCCATTTTCTCTTTGGTAGAATAACAGTTACAGAAGGCTTTTTCTGAATTGTTTCCATCTATTCTGTTTTCCCTCAGAAAGCCTGCTGGCCCTTTCTCTTTTTCTAAACAATAAAGTGCCAAAATTTATTGAAATCACCGTAAACATATCTTAGTTAGACAGAGACACCTATTTGAGACTCAGTTAGTATTTGATTCCAGAATTTTTGAATTAGGAATGAAAAGAGCACAGCATGGGCCTTAAAAGAGACACCATGGCAGAAAGTTTGTATCCCTCAGGTCATATTCAGCCTCAATCTGTTAATTTGTCTTAACTATGGACAGATATTGCCCACATTAGTCCAATAGTGCTTATTAAAAATGCAGTATAAGATCCTAACAAAGGAAAGGAACAAATATATTCATAATAAATCCAAAAGGCAATTTTAAAATATCTGTAATTTGGGGTAATTTTCTAGACAGCATTCACCACTTTCCAGGCTGTTTCACATTTAAACGATATGGGATTGCTCCTGGGCAGCAGCAGCAGCTTGTCTGAACTAGCTTTCTGTGTGGTGCTTTTCTTTATTTCCATGCAAAAAAGTCTGCAGTTGCAAAATACTTTGAATCGAGCTAAGGTGTGATTTTTTTTTTAGAAGTTATATAAAGTCCTGGATAGCTCCAGCTTAGAGCCTTGGAACATTTCTATTAGTATTCCTGGAGGGTGGGCAGGCTCAGTAATTCAGAAATGGATTCACATTTAGCTGTAGTAATTCACAAATGTGCATGTACACAAAGTCCACAAAAGGCATTTTTAGTTTTTTTTCAAAAGTGGATTAGGCTTGAAATGCAAGTACTCTTAAGGGTCAATCCTCCATGTGGGAGTTACTCCAGACCAGCTCTTTAGCTCCAGCCTCACCCTTATTCCCCATGACTTTGCTTGAACAAGGCCCATGGGACTTCAGAACCCTGCTGGCACCAACCCCTGGTGACGTGGGGAGGGGACAGCATCGGAGCCCACCCGTCACCGCTGTGTCTCTGTGTGTGGGGGGCAGTTTAGGAATGGAGCACGACGGCCAAGGGAACCGCTGCGGGGACGAGGTCCGGCTGGGCAGCATCATGGCCCCCCTGGTGCAGGCTGCCTTCCACCGCTTCCACTGGTCCCGCTGCAGCCAGCAGGAGCTGAACCGCTACCTCCAGTGAGTACCAGCCTCTGCCCTCTGTGAGTGTGATGGGCAGCCTCTGCCTTCCAGTGAGTATTGCTGGGCAGCCTGTGCCCTCAGTGAGCCCTGCTGGGCAGCCTCTGCTATCAGTGAGCATTGCTGGGCAGCCTCTGCTATCAGTAAATACTGCTGGGCAGCCTGTGCCCTCAGTGAGTATTTCTGGGCAGCCTCTGCCCTCAGTGAGCATTGCTGGACAGCCTCTGCTATTAGTGAGCCCTGCTGGGCAGCCTCTGCTATCAGTGAGCCCTGCTGGGCAGCCTCGTGCGTGGGAACAGCTCCGCGTCTCGCCTTCGCTTTCATCTCAGCCCATTCCAAATTATTCTCATTTCATTTATGTCTGTTCATTCTCTGGACATTGAGGGTGTATTTGCTGTCCTGTCAGCAATGATGGAAGGCATTGTTATGAATCTTATTGTTAACTTTCCTCCCTCCCTTCCCTAGTCTCTAGCTGAGGGCTGCCTTGGCTACCCAGCAGTGTTGTGTCTGTCTTGCCATTTGCTGCTTATGATACCTATCAGTGACATGGTGCTGTCTAGAGAGGAAAATCTGCCCTTTAAGGGATCAGGGCTTTCCTTGACTTTAGTAGATATCGGAAGAGCACACACGGTTCCAGAATCAGTTCTTCAGTTGTTAATTTTTCTTTCAGCACCTTAAATGCAAAAGCTGTTTAAACAGCTTCATCCATGCCCCTTGCCTTCCTTTTTGGACCTGACACTTCAGGCATTAGACCTGTGTGGAGTTCCCTACAAATTCTGTTGTTTATTATCTTTTTTTTTTTTTTTGCTCCCTACAGAAAAAAACCCTCCCCTTGTTATGTGCAAGTTGTATAAAAAATATGGGGAAACAACTACCATAACCAGCAAAAGCTGAAAATGAGTAGGAAAAAAATGCAGCAAAATACATGAAGTAAACATGACTCAGTCTTTTTGTCAGTATTTTTATTATTGAAGATATCTTAGGTGTGGCAATAAGAAATAAAAACATTGTGAGGGAAGTGGATTGTTTCAAATAGCAAGATCCTTCAGAGCTTTAGCCATTAAATAAAAATCATCTGCCCTAGAGGGCTGCTTTATGTTCTTTTAAATACAACTATTTATAAAATGTCTTATAACAAAGCAGAATGATGCTTTACTTTGAAGTAAATCTAATCTCAAAGTTCTGCTTTCAGCTATTGGTAACTTCAAGGCAACCTTAATGATTGCCAGGAGAGGCTTGTGTATGGTGTCCTCATGTCTGTAAAATAACTGGGAGACATTTCAGAGACCCTGTGGACTGTGCCTGTGTTGTGAATCGACCAATACTTACTTAATCATTTGGTGGGACTGGCATCAGTTCTTCGTGCTGGCATGACTTGGTCAGATGTAATTCTACAGGCTGTCCTCATTCCTTAGGAGCAGAGGAGAAACTTCCACGTTGATCACACAGAAAGGAAACTTAGTTCAAACTAGGGATGGAGCTGGGAGCGATCAGGAGAAGCAAAGAGAGGGAGCAAACCCATGTGAAGTCTGTAAATGAGTCACTGTTTCTCAGGGAGGACACAGGGAAACTGTAAGCTCAGTGGTATTCTGGGCTGGTTACCCTGGCCTCTTGTTTTTGAAACCTCACTTGAAAGACAGCTGCAGACAGCAAGAAATTCCACAAATGGAAAATTAATTAGACTTTCTTTTCTTCTTTGTCTCATGTGGAGTCTTGCTTTGATTCTTCTCACATAAGGAGCCTGGAGACTGATAGGAATTTACCTGCAAGCTAAATGAAAATTACAATGGAAGGGCTTCAAAAAAAGACATGTAGAATCCATTGAAGGTAGATACGACGTGCTAAAGTGAATGTGACCGTAATTGCAATATTAGCTGCTCTTCAGGACCAGCATCTGAGAAATTGTAGGCTCTATTTTGTTTGGAACAAAAAGGCAATGAAACCACAAACACTGTGTAAGCCTCACAGCCCCATCTGTTCCTGTAATTTTTGCCTGTTGCAGTTCCTACGATTGTCTGCGGGATGATCCCTTCGAGCACGACTGGCCTTCCCTTCCACAGCTGCCAGGGATTCACTACTCCATGAATGAGCAGTGCCGATTTGACTTCGGGCTGGGATACATGATGTGCACAGCTGTGAGTACTTAACTTTAGCTTCTGCTATTTCTCATCCAGGAGGGGTCTAAGTGTCTCTGAAACATCCTTAATAGAGACAGGGTAGTGAAGCCCACAAGGAAAGATGTTGTGCCTTCTTATCTGTAAGCAAGGATTAACAACTGAATGTTGACATATATGTTATTTNTTTTTTTTTTTTTTTTTTTTTTTTTTACTGGAGTTACAGAAGTAATTATTGTATAGTTTCATAAATATCTGCAGTTGTCAAGCAAACAAACTTGCTGTGTTATTGAGCCTCCTCTTGCTGGCAGCTGGTTATTTTGCTACAAAACTCCCACCCGGATGTGGATGTGGAAGGAGATGGATTTGCTGCCGTATCTCATAGTGCTAGCACAGGGCAACATGCTTTTATGATCCAATTTTATGGAAAGTATGATACATTTAGATACCTTGTGAGGGAAAATAGGCCTCACAGCAAGTAAAGCAGCTTGTAAGGGCTCTTGATGACATGGTTGGCTCTCGTGTATGAGGAAAACAAAAGGCAAAGTCTAAGTGTAAAGCAAGGCAAGATTAGTGCTATTCTCAGTGGACTGGCCTCAGAAAATAGAGTCTTCTGCAGCAGGGCTGTGTCTCCCACCTTCAGCTCCTCAAGTAGAACTAAATATTAAATGGAAAGAGATGTTTTCAGCTGCTGGCAGCTGTTGAGATGTAACATTTCTGCTTTCATTCCCATCTGCAGGAATATATGTGCCGAGTGGTGTCCCTAGATAATGGATGAGAACCTTTACAGTATGAGCTGTAGTGTTGTGTCTTTACACAATTCCCTCTGATGCTGCCTTGGAAGAATGTCCCAGCCAAAGGGAATCTTTTCTTATAGCCATCCTCCAAAGCATGGAGATGGAGGCTTTCTATTCTTCTTTGTTCAGAATAGCCAAGAGCATGTCCAGACATCATGATTTAATATGTTTTGTGGTGGGTGGTTCCCATCCTCTCCTATAGAAGTCTTTGCATTGTAGATAAAATGCTGATTTATTCATTGGATTGGGGACCTGATCTCAAATTTCCATCCCCCTAAGAACGGGATTACAACAGCTGAGCTAAAGTCTGAGCAGCTCATTTCCATCTGCCATGGGTGCACAAGGATTTCTTGCTTTGTTTTGCCAAATGAAGCAGCCCCATTTGGAGAAGCTATAAGAAAAGGCAGCGTGTGTTTCACTGCCTGAGGAAGCTGGTTGGTCACTTGTATAACTATTTTTGCCTGACTTTATTCCATCGCATGCAGATGGGATCTCACCTCAGAGTCATTATTCTGTATGCTCAAATATTCAATCCACAGACATCACGGTGCTCCTCAGGGATCAGCGCTAACAGCTGGCATTTTATACCTAGGAAAGGAACTCTCCCGTCTTCAGCTTCTGTTGCAGTTTCCAGTGGGATCTCTCTCAAAGCATCATCCACTCTGATGTTTTTTTGTGTGTTCCAGTTCCGCACATTTGATCCCTGCAAGCAGCTGTGGTGTAGCCACCCCGAGAACCCCTATTTCTGCAAAACAAAGAAAGGGCCTCCGCTGGACGGGACCATGTGCGCACCAGGGAAGGTGAGAGCTGGTGCCCTGTGTATGCACATGCTTGTGTGTGTTCACGTGTGTTTGTGTGCAGATGGGGATGTTCCCCTCAAAATTCAGAGGAGCAAGAGAAGAACCTGTCTGGAGGACCTGAGGTTTGTTAAGATGTGGGGCAAACTCCTGAGTGCAAGTGAAGTGCTGAGCATTAGCTCAGCTGGTTGGAGCACAGTGATAATAGCACATGGGTCTGATCCCTGTAGGGGCCATTCACTCAAGAGTTGGACTTGATGATCCTTGTGAGTTCCATCCAACTCAGAATATTCTGTGATTTGGAGGAGTGTGAGGAGAGGACATGGGGTGAGGGCTGGCGTGTCCTGCATGGCCACTCTGGGACCATTAAACCCCGTCCTCAGGCAGCTCATGGTGGTATCTCCCCCACGCAAGTCTCTGTGGCAAAGCCAAAAATGGGGAAATTTCCACTCTCCTATGACCCTTTTGAGGTCAGGGTGTTGTGCTTGGACCGGCGCTGTTGCCGTGGTGCTGCCTGGCCTCCCCCGTGCAGAGAGCAGCATGAGCTGGAGAAACAAGCCCAGCCACGGCCGCCGGAGCTTCCCAGAGGGGAGGGATGGATGTGGGGGCTGAGTGCCAGCCAGAGAGAACCCACATGTGAGCACAGAGGGACTGTGAGCAGAGAAGGGCAGCTCTGTGGAGGTGGATTTGCACGTTTGATGGGAGCCCAGGGAGGCAGGAGGAGTGGTGGAGGTATGTGTGGGGTGGCAAAGGCTCAGGGAACTCTGGCCATGCAGCCACCGTGCCAGAGCTGCTCCCAGCCCCGGGGATCCTCTGTGGGGATCATGCTCTGCTCACAGTGGGTCTGAACTCAGAATCCTTTGAAGTCTGATGAGAAAAATCTGGCTTCCCTAGGCTTTGGATGCAGTGACTGAGGGGGAGAGGAAGATGTCGCTACTTGGAAAGGTTTTTTCACAACTTAGTGTATTACATCATTTATGCAATAAATGAACCATATTAGCAGCTGCTGTTATGGTTTAAAAAGTCTTTTTTTATGAAAAAGTTATGTTAAATTAATTCCCCAGCAAGTCACGCTCTATTCAAACCACTCCCTTCTGGTTTTCTCTTCTTTAAGTTATTCCTGTTACAAAAGCTTTGTCTCTTATTAAAAAAAAAAAATTTAGGTTTTTAGACCTAAAATTTTTGACAATTTATTTGGATACTCTTTTATTTATCGTGATTTTTATATTAAAGATATTCATGATCCCCATGGCGAGACTGCAAGAAATCATCTTCAAAAAAAAAAGTTATATTCCATTTTGTTGCATCACCCTCTTCCCTGAGCTATTCATTCATATTATTATTTGAACAGAAATGAGGAGAAAAGAGGAATTTGTAACCCTACAGTTAAGGATCTGTCAGTGCTTCCATTATAAACAGTTTGTCAGGATATTATGCAACTCAGCTGTAAAAATTTTCTTTGGACTGGAACTTGGGATCCAAGGCTTCAGCAAGCTGTGCAGACAGCCAGGCTTTTGAGCTCTGCAGAGATGCAAGAGAGTGTGTGTGCATTCTGAAGTTTCAGTAGATGATAGGACTCTGACTGTTTTATTCTCAAGGGAGCTGTCCCAGTTTTTTGATAAATAAACTTACTGCCACCTTCCAGAAGAAGAACCTGAGAAAATGATATAAAATGAAAACCATTTTATTAGATAAGGCTCAGCAGTCTGAAATAAATGTTGTTGTTTTCTTTGTTGTTGTTTTTTTTTTTTTTAATAGTGGGAGTTCTGGAGGTTATATACCTGACTTTATGTATCTGAGATGAGCATTTGACCAGTGTATTTATTAGATATTGGTGTTTTTAATACAGGTACATCAGATCAATGCTTTTACATCTGTTCCTTTCCTTTCTATCCCTGCCCTTGATTTTGCCTTCCCTTGTTCACTCTCTTCCCAACTAGAGCAATACCAGAGGCTCTTGCCTGAATACATGGGGCTGTAAAATGCATTTATTGCCCACAGCTGGGACTCAGTTGCTGTGGGGCAGCTTTCTTTCAGGTACATCTCCCAGGATACCTCATCAGCACTTGAGAAAAATAGAAAACAATTTCAAACATGATCTCCTATTTTCTTTGGAATCATGCCAGAAAAGAAAAGTACAGAAACATAAGCAATTAAAGATGTTGATTGAGAAAGATTCATTTGTTTCCCACTTTGGGGACTTGCAGTTTTCATGATTTCATACCACTAATTCCCAGGGCCTATTTTAAGCTCAAACCAATCACAACACTGCTGATGTGTCACAGAAACATCCTGGCTTTGCTGCAGCTGAGGGGACGAGATGCCAGAAATGAAAGTGGTGCTGGGGAGGCCAACGTGGTGTGTGGGGTGTAGATGTTCTCACCTGGGGCTGGTGTTCACCTGACTGACAACTGATCCCAAATCCAGCAAGATGCCAGTGAGGAGAATCCAGTCCAGCTGCCTCCTTTCTAACTGATGGTCAAGGGGCAAGAACAGCCATGTGGGAAATGGGAAATCTGTAGCATATTTTTGGCAGGCAGGATGTTAAGGGGCATGTGTCTGCATGCCCAGGCTGTGTCCTGGATGTCCCAGACACGACCCTTTGAAAGGGAAGCTAATGCTGTATATACATGTGTATGTATGTGTACAGATAAGTATATATATTTATGTGAATGTTTGTAAAGTCTTCTGTGCCTGTGGTTATTTGAACTAAGTTGCCAAAGAGTGAGGTTCTACCATTTTGAAAACTTCTTAATAAGCCTTTTTGTGCAAATGGAGATACTGAGCAGCCGTTATGTTAATTGGCAGCAAACTAATAATTTTCTGGGTTTAAAGATAAAAAAAATAACACATTCTCCTGGGACCTTCCCAGTCAGAAAAGAAAACTACTATTTTGACAGAATCATGAAGGAAATAGAATAATTTATACTGCTCCTAGCTTGATTTTTTAAAATCAGATTGAGTTTTCAACAGCAAGAGGGAGGTTTCTATCAGTTTTGTAAGGCTTTGATGGTGCAGCCACTTGCAATGGTCACATTACCTTCCATGAAATAACTCCGGTGTGTAAAGTTAAGCACATGGAGGTTCAGAGTCTTACTGTGGAGTCACAGACACTCCATAAATTGCTATAGAAAACCATGCAGGCAAGACATAACTGTGCAAAGCTTAACTCTGCCTGGCATTCTGTAGATTGAAAGAAAACATATACTGTCAGCTGATAATTTATTTACTTGTATACAATTCTGTCAGCTGTACCATTAGCCTCAGGCTTCTGAATCCATGCAAACTTCAGAAATCTATCTTCAGTTTTTGTTATTCCATTTTTTAAAAATATTACTCTTCTAGGGAGACATTTATGTCGGCTGAAGTAGCTAACTGCTCTCCACAGGGTAGAAATAAAACCCAGAGTCAGTCATGCAGGGAGATCACATGTTTGGGTCCATCTGCTTGCTGCAGTGACTAACATCAAGGTTTGCAGCACCTGAGCCTCCTTTTTTTCTTTTCTTGGAGAGAGGTTAAGAGCCTGGTAGCTGCCCCTGCCAACCAAGCTGATGTTGCTCTTGGATTTGGCTTCTGTGCCAAGGATCCAGCACAAATCTAGCAGGTCTTCTCTTTGCTCGCACTGTGCTAATGAGATGATCTGAGTAAAACTTGGAATGATTTTTTACTCTGTCAGGAAAGGAAGGGAATGATTAAATATTGAAATAAATAGATATTTTTTAGTAGAAAGATGGATCAAGCAAAAAAGTTTCTGAAAACACTAATGTGTAATCAAAGCAATGCAGTTAATTTCCCACTGAGAAAGCTGACCTCAGCTTCTCTTGGAGACAGGAGACAGATGGGTGAGTGTGTGCTGTGTTAGTCACCACAGAAACGGAGAATTCTTCTTCTTGCTTCTCCACTGAAGAAACTTTTACTGCCTCAGAGTAGTCCTCAGTGCTGGAACTTCTAGTTCATCCCTTGCAACTAATTATTTTAAACAGATGGAGCAGAGTGGGCCAGCCTGTGTGTGACAGGGAATACAAATAAATCAGTGATCCCCTCCTGATGGGACCCCAGGAGAGTGAGGAGAACTGAGCACTCCCAGCCTTGGTGCATGTGAGGGGTTACTTGGTAGGTCCTGGAGCATCAAGTGAGGAGATCAGAGAGGTGCCCATTGCTGCCCAATATAAAATAGTTACAGATACCCACAGAAAATCTTCAAGCCTTTTCTTGGAAAATTGACTTGCAGATGTGTTAAGCCCACAGGAACACACTGGCTCTTTTTTTTGGCGTCCACAGCAGTTGTTTCAAAGAACTGTTGAAAACAGCAGTGGAATGTTTTACTGCAAGAAATTCAAGCTCCCTGTCCTGGAAATTGCACTTGTTTTGGACTGCCCTGGTTGCCAGAAAAATAGGCAAGACTGCAAGAAGTCATCTTCAACTAAGAAAACAATTTGCATTTACCCATTTTTTTCTCATTTTAAAAAAGAATTGCTTTAATATGCTTCATTCTTTAAGTGAAACCCCCTGTTTATGAAGGGAATAGTGCTTGAAATTGGCTCTTTTCCACCTCATTATGCGGTTAATGTAGTAGCAATAGGGAGGGTTGGCTTTAACTTTCTTTATTACACTGGAGATTGCTCTGTCTCTGGTTTTACCTTATCATGCATTTTCTTGCACGGATCTGCACGAAGTAAGATTCATTAGTGAATAATTTTGTTTTCTGTAGGCTCCTGTCTTTTAATCCACAAAAAAAGGCAGAGCTGGGGATGACTCATTTTACACAAATGCTTTTCTCCTAATAGCTCTGCCTCAGCTTCCCAACAATCAGCATTTGACCAGCTTCTCCACTAAAAATCAGTGTTGCTCTTCTCTTTACACAGCAAAGTCAATAACACTATTCCATGTTTGCCTTCCAGTTCAGGGACCAGTCTCAAAGTCAGAGAGGGGGGATAATTAGAGGTTGTTGCAAACCTACATCCTGCTATTCCTGACTAAAACAGGAAAAAGAGGCTGGGAAACACCGTGTCATCACATGTCTTTGCCTCTCCTCCACGAGTCCAAGTACTGGATTCTGGATCATCACATAATGAACATAGGCTAAATGGCTCCTGAAATGGATTTGATCACTGCTGTGGAACTTACACCTGAGAGATGCAGCAGCCTGATAAAAAGATGTGTGAGTAAGCACAGATCAGGAGCTGTCACTTCACATCTGCTTCCGAGCCCAGCTGAAATGTTTATTGACAAGCTGAAACACTGCCAGCTTCCCCCGCATCGCTGAATGGTCCCCTGGCAGCACAGGGCCCCACGACTCAAACTGTTTGTTCAAACAAACCCTACTAAACCCATATGTAAACAGTCCCTGAAGGGTACAGCCCTGAGCTTCTAAACCAAAAAAAGCAAAGGACATATTAGCATTTTGTATTTCTTTCATGCTTTGCTGAATTATCTCTTGTTCTGTCTAACATCTAAGAAAAATCTGCCTATTACAGCTCTGGAGCAAGATTGGTATAATTGGCTTGGTGGTAACTCATCTATTTCAATAGGTTTTGACTTTGAATATCTGAAGTCATGGAAATGAAAAAAAATAGTTGAAACCTAATTTCTACTCTCTCTTCTACTCCTTGTCCAACCAAATCAGCCCCAAAATAAATTGCATGAATAAGGAGCCAGCCACTGAGCAGATTACTGAATCAGTAAGCTGTGCCTTGTCACCATTCTAATGATTCTCTCTTGAAATTCAGCATTATTAATGATTATCCTTCACTTTTAGATTTGCCTTCCAGATCACTAATCGCTCTATGCTCAAGAACACTCTCCTGTTATATATCTTCTGATTTTGTTTTTGCTGGCAGCATGCATTTAGCCATATGCTTGTCTTGTGCAGCCTGCCAAATTCCTGCGTTCCAGGGCTTGTTAAGCTGTGTAAAATGTTGTTGTTGACTTGAATGTTAAGGAAAGTAAGTGACTGATTTCACTTGTTGTTGCAGCCATCTGTGCTCCTGAGCCAGAGCTCTCATCCCAGCAGTAACCGTTAACGCAGACAAACTGTGACAGTTCCATGCAAAGTCGCTTGTTTGCTGGAATATATTTTCCAGCACCCACACTTCATCAGTAGACTTTTATGAAAGCAGAAATAGTACTGAAAGGGGCCAGAATCTTGTGATCCTTGAGAAGAATTCTTTGTGACTTCAGCTGAGAAAAAACTCCATTATTAGGGACTGGAGAAATTGGTGGAAAAGCATTGACAGGTTTCTTTAACAGGACATAACAGTAGAGATGATCAGTACTAGAGCTATGAAGGCTCTTAAAGAAATAAAATAAATCCCTTAATAGTTTGGGGAATGTAGTAAATTCAACTGCTGTAGAATGACTGTACTACAAACCAGGTAAAAGCAAGGAGAAAGCGTGGTAGGGCATGATGAACTCTGCAGCTGTAGGACTGTTCAGAGTTGTCCCTAAGGAATACCTCCTGGCTTTTTGGTCAGGTTTACCATGAGATCTCCACAGAGACACTGCAAAAGATTTTAATTAATAGCAGTAATGTCTACAATGTGAGCTTGCCTTAATTCCATGACTTTGCTGATCGCATTTATTATAGGAATATGTGTGTGGATTTGGGAGCAGCTGGGCAGGATGGTGCTGTGGCCAGAGCTCCCGACAGTGCTGCCTGGAGATGCTGCAGGCAATAGTGGAGGCAGGATGTTACTGTTAGCCTCCAAGATTTGGGATTCTGCCATTTCCCTTAAATGATATCCCTGCTGCAGACAGGTGATAAGGAAATGTAACACTGAGAACAGTTTAACAAACTAGGTAGACTTGAAACCTGCATGCACACATGTGCATACTGACATGTAAGGTTATAAAATCTGAGTGAGTTTGGGATCATTGGCACAATCTGACAGCAAGTCCCTCTACTTTCTACTGGAGAGGTGAAAAAAATCCAGAACTTGTGCCAAAAATTAAGATGTGTGGTACAACAGCTTCTCGTCTGATATAAGTTAATCATCTAATCATTCTGACATCTGATTCTCTCTTTCAGCATTGCTTTAAAGGTCACTGCATCTGGCTCACACCAGACATCCTGAAGCAGGATGGACACTGGGGGGCATGGAGCAAGTTTGGCTCTTGTTCCCGCACGTGTGGCACCGGGGTGAAGTACAGGACCCGGCAGTGTGACAACCCACAGTAAGTGACACCCCACTGATGGGGGGTTCCACAGAGCCTGCACGGGGAGGATCCTCAGGGAATGGCCAGTGCAGCAGTGCAGGAAAGGATGCTGAGTGGTGCTTGTTAAATCTGACCTATAGCATAAGTTGTCAGAAATTCTACTTTTGGCACCCTTAGCAAGTCATGAATCATCTTTATTTCTCAGTTTATCCATCTATTAAACTGGTTATGCAGTTACAAGGGCTAATACAGTGCTATGTGAAGCATAAGTAAAAGTTTAGGGTTTTACAGAACTTGTTTTAAAATACGAGTATGAAATAAGTGATTTACTGGATTTTTTTTAAACCTTTTAAAAATTTTTCTTTAATCCACCTTTTAGGATATTTCAACAAGAAGGTCTTAAAATATTTTCAAACTGTTTTTATTCCAGTTTTCATTCAGTTGGAACAAAGCTTCTGAGATCAGAACTTTCCCCAGAGTTAATTTTAGGAATTTTGAATTGTCTTGCTTTAATAACTTACATATGGGTCATCTAGATAGTGTAGAATGATTCAATTTCAGTAACAGTGGGAGCAAAGTATAGTTAATAAAAATTGGTATATACATATGATAGGAAATATGTAATTATGGCTATCTTAATGTGGTATCATAAAATGTCAAAATCCTAACAGCAAGGACTAAAACAATTATTGGGATTAAATGATTTTAACAGACAGTGTATTTTTAACATTGAATGTCTTCCTTTGCTGATAAAGCAATTGAACTTGGCTAATATTAAAAATCATCTTATCATTGATTTGTTTTTCTTTTAAATTGAGTTTTATGAAGCAGCATTTTCCAATGGAAATTGTTCTGTTAAGAAAATATTTGCCAGTTCTCTTTTCAGCCTTTATTACTTTGGCAACAGAGAAGTGACCTTTATAATCATGGGCACAGCTTTAGTTGTAAAACCTATTTGCATGTAGGGAAAGCCTAACGTGCTATTGAAAACGTTTTCTGTGTTTCCTGGAAGAGGATGAAAACCCAGCTGCAGGTCCTGAGCTTTGTGTTGCCAGATCTGCCAGGGACCTGGTGCACATCTGCCTGGGGGCACACACTGAGCTGGGCTGTTCTGCCTTTGCTGCTGCATTAGGGGTGAATGTGAATGAGTTCTGCTGTGCTTTCCTTTCCTGGCTACACCAAGAAAATGGCTTTTCTTGCCTTTATCAAGTCGTTTGAATCTCTACTTGCAGAAGTTGCTTTTTAACAGCTAAATAGTGACAGCAAGTTTTGAAAGGAAATATGTATTTTACATATCAGAAATACAGCTCTGGCTTCATCAAGTGCCTACTGACATGACTGGGAAACAAACTGCTCCTCAAAAGATTTAATAGACACTTGATTAGTGAAATAATAGCAAAAACTAACCATGGGTTTCTCTGCCTGTCACAGTCCTGCCAACGGAGGCCGCACGTGTGTGGGGCCGAGCTACGAGTTCCAGCTGTGCAACACCCAGGACTGTCCCAAGGACTTGGAGGATTTCAGAGAGGAGCAGTGCCGGCAGTGGGACCCCTACTTTGAGTACCAGAACACCAAACACCACTGGCTCCCCTATGAACATGTTGATGGTGAGCAGCCCCTCTCCTGTCAAAACTAAAATCAGTTGCAAATATAAACAAAAATTATATGGGGAGGAGTAAAACTTCTTCCCGGGAAATCATGCCTCCTAAATCTGTTAGGAGGTGTTTGGAGGGATCAGTGAGTATCAGTGTAGGAGTAATTCAATTTATACAATGCACTTGGATTTTCAAAAAACTTTGGGCACTGTTCCCCAATGCCAGCTGTTAAATGGATTTACCATGAGGTAAAAGGGAATGGTTTTGCATGGGAGGATGGCCACTCTGAGCACTGCAGAAAGACCTTGTGACACAAGAAGTAACACAAGAAGGCAAAGGAAGTTTGGTGTTAATGAGTGCCAGTAATGGATATGGGGGTAAAACCTGGTGTGTGTGTGTGTGTGTGGATGGTAGACTCTGAACAGAAAGGCTGGGAAATGCTTTAGGAAAAGATCAGTTCAGTGACTGTGAAGGGAGAGATGGAGAGACTGACCTGCCCCTGTGTACCTGCATGTTGTGCTTGCACTTTAAATACTCAGCCAATACACCTCAAGTTGTGCCCATCTCACTGCTGCCCAGGCTGCTAAAAACCCACAGCTGAACTCAGGCCAGAATAAAGCAAACATAAATAATGACTTCTGGATGAGGAGAGTTTGGATAAACCGGGACTTTTCACCCTGGAAAAGCAAGGATGTAGACTAAAAAGATAGAGTTACAGAGTTGTGAGTGGTCCAAAGAGACTGAACGTGGAATGATTGCTGAGTTTCTCATAACATGAGCCTGGGAACAGCAAATAAAATTATCAGGTGGCAGATTTAAAACAAATAAGAGGAACGGCTTAGTACAAAGCATCTAATTATCTTGAAATTCACTGTCACAGAAGGTTGCTGATGCCAGAAAGTTTTAGAAATTATTTTGAAAAATTCTTGACAGCTCTACAGTCCATTAAGAGCCATTAAACACCAAGTTCCAGTCATGATTTTGGAAGTCCCCAAGTTGCAGTGTAGGAGGAACAGGGAGAATATTCTGAGAAAAGTTTCCAGTTTGTTCCAGTGTCTTCCTCCAAATGCTGCTGGCACTGTTGGAGGCAGCTGTTGGATTGAATGGGTGCTGGTTCTCAAACCAGCAAGGTTGACAGAGATCACCTCCTAAAACAAAAATGTTCCTGTTCCTGTTAATGCCTCAGCTTAACTGTCAATGCAAGTGCAGCTGGTTGCTTTGGGCCATGTCTGCTCTTGCCAGAAACACACTGAGAGGTTTTACCAAACAAAGAGGCAGAGGGCAATGAGTCTCAGCTTGTTGAATGAGCAGTGTGAGATGCTCACTGTTTTTGAACCCTTACACCTTGAAGGACAAATTCTTGAGGGCAGGGTTGGCCTGGCAAGGGGCAGGTTCTGAGCACTTGCCCCATCCTCAGCCCAGCTGCCATCACTGGGAGGAGAAGGGTCACTTTGGGTGAATCATTTTGCATTCCAGCGAGAGGATACTCCCAGAAATGAATAGCAAATTCCTTATAATTAATTTGCCTGACTTTCTTTCCAAACAGTTCTCAGAGTTCCCTCATTCTTTTCATGCCATCTTGGTCAGTCTGTCAGTCTGGGATTTTCAAAGGCACAGACACAGCCTCACAGCTTAATTTCATGAAATAGCTTTGCTGGCACAGGGTGAAGGGATGAAGACTGTGGCCTGCAGGACCTTTGCTTATGCTTTAGCCTTTGGAGCAGTCTGTTGCAAAGACCAGTGAAACAAATCAGATTTTTTTCAATTAAATTCAATGGCTTCTGGGTCAGAAACCAGCTCATTGATGTCTGAGCACTGATCCCTGGGCACTGCTGGTTTCCAATATAACTATGGTATAACTGCAGATACCTTGAGAGTTACATTTACCTGTTCAGGTTTATTAGAGGGAATAGGTTTTGTGTGAAAATAAGGCCAGAGACAAGCTTATGCTTGAACTCTAATCTGTTCAAAACTCCCTTTTGTAATGATAAGGCATATCAGTGACATACTTGTGAGGATAATGCAGTTGTGGCTCAGAAGTGACATAAATCCATACACTTCACAGGCAGCTCTGCTGGATGTGTCTGACACATTGTGCAGGGCACAAGAACAGACAGGAGTGCCTCATGCTGTGGGCAGAGAAAAGCCACTGAGCTGGGGCACACCTCAGCGTGTCCTTGAGCATCCCCATGCCCCGTTGTGCCATGGTTGTCTCCTGTTCCAGTCCCACTGAGCCCCCAGGTCCTCACCCTGCCATGCTCACAGGCTCCTGCACTGTGCATCTGCCAGGGCAGCAGGGAGTGACTCTGCCCAGCCCCAGTTAAATGAGCCCAGCTCAGTGACTGAGCTCCCAGCCTCAGTTAAATGAGAAGGACTAAGAGAGCAGGGACTGAACAGGCACACCATCACATCCATGCTCCTGCACATCTACCATGTCCAGGGTCTAATTTAATAGCACTTCCACATTTACTGTTCCGTGGAGCAGTGGGAGCAGAACCATCTCTAAAATAAAACCCTTGTACAGAGTTGTTGGCACCTAGTCAGACCTGCTGATATTTTCATTAATCACGTGCAGTGAATGTGTGGTATGTGTGGGGTGGGGGTGCCTGCATACCCAGGGGTGCTGTGTACACATCTAACCTGTGTATACATCTATCCTGTGCACACCTTAATGTTTCTAATAGATGCATTCAGTCTGTAATTATTGTGATCTTAATAGTCTCCGATTAAGAATTTGCACCAAAAAAACTACCTGATTTAATAGACTAGACCCTGGATTTTCAGCATGGCTTCTCTGCATGGTTTGGGAGCAGTAGCAAAGGTCTCTGATGTGCCAATACCCAGTGGCCTTGAGGACATCAACAGCAATAACAAGGACTTTACAAAACGAGGGCAGAGGCGGTGGAACGGTACAGGGGAAGAACGCAAAGGGCCTGTGAAGATCTATTTCAGTTCAACTGCTATAATGGAAAGGTTGTTATTGTTTTAAATGGTGGGAAAAGCATTCGAAATTTTAATCTTGTTATAATAGCAGAATCTCTATTTGTTTCATCTAGCAGAAAGGCCATCTGCTCTTCAGTGCCAAGGAAAGCATAGTGAATCCTATTATTGGGCTGAGGACAGCAAGAGAAATGGATAAATTGACATACACTAGTGGAATACAACTTTATTCAGCCACTGACTAGTCATTTTCAGCTTTATTTTTTGTTCTTAGCTCTTCGGAACAGATTAGAGAAAATACCACTTGTCTGGCTGTTTGTGCATGTGTTAGCAGCAAAAAAAATGCTTTTTGTCTGAATCTTTTTGACATCTCATCTTGTTTAATGGTTTAAATTATCATAAATACAAGTACAACCATGAGGGAAAATTAACTTTGTGGTTAGGATGAAATGCTATGACCCAGCTGTCTCTGAAGAAATTTTGGATGCCAGGTTCACTTAGTGTCAAACAGCTGCTTTTAATAGGAAAATTAATTTGGCTTTTTTTCAATTTAAGTGCAGTGCAAGAGAAACCAGCATCTCTCACAGGTAGTCATGCAACTGAAGAGAGGTCTGCTGGGTTGTATCATCTGCAAAGAATTAAATAGATCTCCCCTCAAAGTCAACAATCTGTTATTTTAAGCCTGTCTCCTAATGATGACACATGGATGCTTTATGATTCAGCATTTTCCAAGAAATCACAGAATCTTTCAAAGGGGATAAGCATCAATGATTTATGGGTACCACATTGGGCTCTGTGATGTGTGCAAGGAAGAAGGGAGAGCCAACATTACTGAAAGAGCTGCTCACAATGTTGTCAGCAACTAAACTAAGAGCTGAACTTGCACAATTTGGGTGGTTTTGTTTTTCAGCCAAGGAGAGGTGCCACCTGTACTGTGAATCCAAGGAGACGGGGGATGTGGTGTACATGAAAAGGATGGTGCACGACGGGACCCGCTGCTCCTACAAGGATGCTTACAGCATCTGTGTGAGGGGGGACTGCCTCGTGAGTGTCTGGGGGCTTCTGCAGAGCTCAGCATTGTGAAAACAATTCAAACTGTACCCTGAGTGTTTCTCTCTGAGCATGACTAAGTATAACAACACTTTGTGCAATAAGGAGATTTCATTAGGATTATTGTCATAATATTATGTGTGATATTCACAGTTGCCATGCATGTGACTCGATTCCAAAAGCACCTACCTACATAAGTAATATTTCATGCAGCATTTTAAGATTAACTATTACAATTAACTTTCAAGGAAAGCTCTCCCTGCTGAGGTTTAGTGGGGGTGGAATGTACAATGAAATAGGAATGCACAGCAGCTTTCAAGGAAAGTGGTGTTAGAGTATGGCTGATGTGCATTCTCTTGGTATTTGATCATGCTATTTTTAAAAAATCAATGACAGTTCCTCTAAGTTGGGATCTGCTGCAGGTCATCTTTCAAAGGAATTAGTATCTGACTAGCAGAACACTGGTGGGAGGTGCTTATCCCTGTATAGATGCCTAGGTTCTCCTGTAATTTAAGTATCTGTCTCAAGATAAACTGAGGCTTAAGAGCTTTTCCTTAACCATGCTGCTTTCCTTCAGTAAGAGAACCACTGTGAAGCATAATATGAAAATATAATCAGCCAGTTAACAGCTATTATAGGAACTGGAAGTATTAAAATCTGTTTAGGTGTTGGTCTTCCAGGAGAATACTATGTGGTGTGCTGCTTTGCTGAAGCAGAATGTGGGGGTTGATATGTAAAGTGAAGGCTCATTTGAATTGAAAAGTGGATAAATAAGAATGACTGTTTCTCTCTTTTGTGCACAGAAAGTTGGGTGTGACAGGGTCATAGGTTCTACGAAGCAGGAAGATAAGTGTGGTGTCTGTGGAGGAGATAATTCCCACTGCAAAGTGGTGAAAAGAACATTTTCAAGAGTACCAAAAAAGCAAGGTCAGTACATCCAGTGTGGATTGTCCTGTGGAATTCAGGGTATTTTTTCTTGGTCTCTTATGATTTGTGGAAAGTACCAGGACAATTACAAATCATTTGCAGCATCATTAATTCCAATAAACAATCGACTTGCTTCCAGATGTGTTTGTAATTTGAAAATAAGACTTCTGTCCAGCGAGCAGTTAAAGCTGCTGATACTGAGGCCTGTGCATGCATGGGAGAGGACTTCCCTGCTCCTTGTTGGAGAGCTGTGGATTTGAGGTGCTGATGTCAGCCACTGCTCTGTCACTGCAGTGATGCAATGATCAGGCACTGTCAGGCAGGAGGTTGTGTGGCCTCTGTGGCTGCATATGGCACTCAAACCCATTTTAGTCTTTCTTCTGACCCAAAGCCCTTTTCCCTGTTTTGTTCCATCACCTGGCACAGAAATGGGAATGGGAATAGTGCTGGATTCACTTCATCTTGTTTAATACACCCTGCTTTCAGAAAATAAAATGTATTTAAAAACCTAAAACCCCGCCCTCTTTATGCCATATTAATCCATAACTATCTTTTCAAATATCTCAATATAGGGTATGTTAAGATGTTTGAAATTCCTGCTGGTGCAAGACATTTACTTATACAGGAAACAGATGCCACCACTCATCATCTTGGTAAGTAACAAGTAGGAACATTTTCAGTCAGAATATTTGTTCTGGTATTTATTTTTGTCTCTGGAGGCTGACAATGTGTTTATACATTTGTTTACCCATTACCCACCCACACCATGTACTTTCTCTAAGTATGTTAGATTAGGAACCTTGTTTGATTTCTCTGTGCTGTATTCCAGGGTGTCCCAGCCAGATCTCTGTGTTGGTATGTGCATGTGTGAAAGCAGCTGGAAGAGGCACTGAGTTACTTCATGGGGTGCAGTGCATTATCTTTGGAAATAGATGATCTTCAAAGTCCTTTTCAACCCAAACCATTCTATGGTGTTTGTGTGCATCTTTTGTGCTTCTCACCCTCATTTCCCAGCTATATCCAGATCTGCTCCAGATTCTGCCCCACTGCTAACACTATGGACACGAGGCTGCCAAATCAATCCGGCAGTTTAGGAGGCAATGGAAATCCACTCCTCCCCAGGCCCTGTAATCAATGGGAAGCAGTAACTAGTAGGCTGCTATTAATTGGAAGTAGAGCAGTCCTTGTTCAAAGTTCTGTTGGGGTGAGGGGAGTGCTGTGCACATGGACAGCTGGCTCGTTGTCTTGGCCACTGCCGAGGGAGCAGGATGCTCAAGTAGCTGCCAGAGAGAGAGTGGAGTTAAAACCTGGTGTTACATAACAAATAGTCCCTGCTTCTTCTAACAAGGAGGGCAAATGTTCCATCTCAGGTGAAAACCTGTCCTCATACAAAGGTGGCTGAAGTCTCTCCAGGTGAAGGATGGAGCACTGAAGAGCTGAAGAGAGGAACCAGGCTCTGTGTGCAGTGGCAGGTGTCTGCAGAGCAGCAGGAGCTTAACAGGGCTGTGCTGGTGTCAGGACTGGATCTGAGCAGGAGAATTAATGCTGTTTCTAGTGTCCCTCTCTCACTGTGGGGACCTGCTGGGGGTTAGCTCAGTAGCCTTTCTCTGATGGAGCAGTAACAGCCCCCTGAGCTGCCTTACAACATATGAAAGAGCTGAATAGCTCTGGGACCCCCACTGGCTCTCAAATTGGCTCAGATTTGGCCAGTGGATTCAGAAGTTGTTATATGGGAGCAGGCAGCTGGGCCCCTGTGGTGCAGCTGCATTGACCTCATTTCTCTGGCAAGGAAGGCTATGAAAAAGGAAAGGAAAGGACAACTGAAGTTCCTGGAGCTGAGCAGAAAAGCATTGACAGTTCAGTGAAACACCTGAAAAAGCCTTTCCAAACCTGTGAGGGAACAGAGGGAAAATGCACATTGGCCTTTTCAGCTTCATCCACTGGGACAAGAGCAGAACAAAACTGGAGATGAGAAACAAACCTCGTGTATTCACTTTTCTTGTGTTGTTTCCAGCTATTAAAAATCGTGAAACGGGGAAATTAATTCTAAGTGAGGACAACTATGTGCCAGACTCCAAAGTATTTATTGACATGGGTGTGGAGTGGGAATATCGGAATGACGACGACAGAGAAACGGTGCAGACCATGGGGCCGCTGCGTCACGGGATAGTTATCCTGGTAAGCCAAATGGAAACACCTTCCACAGAGCCACAATGGGCTAGCAGATCATTCAGATTCCTCTTGTGAGTCACAAGAACACATCTGCTTCAATTATAAGACAATAGAAGATGTATTTTAATTCCTTTCTCCCAATTCATTGCTCTGTATGAGGGCTGTTATAATTCAGGGTTATGTGTTGAGCAACCAGCTGTCCTGATTATTTCCTGTGGATGGCATAGCAATCAGCCACTGAGTAAAGACTGCATTTTACTTATTCTATCTGACATGTGAGCACCAATCAAAAAAAGGTCAGAGTGGTTCATATCAGCTAGATCTAATAGTTCCTTCTCCCATCCATGTTTTGAAAATGTATCCTGCAAAGGCAATGAAATAGGAACACACAGGATTCCTGTGATACCGACTCCCTTTTGCAGGGCAAAACCAGTTCTACAGCTCCCAAAACCACCCAAATATATTCTTTTCTTCATTGCAAACTAGCAAACAGTAGACTTCAATTCAGGGGTAAGTTGATTTAGAATCCCTCTGAAAACAACTGTAATGTGTTGATCTACACCAGCTGAACTTCAAAGAAAGAATAAATACTATGTTTCCAAAGGACAAATATTTTGCACTTTGTTCAAATTGAGTTCTGTTTTCTTGCATTTGTCTTAGTGCAGTGTGATAACAAAACCTCTTTCTAAATAGTTTATATTTCTCTCAAGATTAAGTAAAGAGCTTTGCAGAATTCTAGGATTATCATAAGAATATTTGTGTTTTATCAGAAATATAAGCAATTTTCTTTGCTGGTTTCACTTATTTCTGCAGTTGAATTTGCTTTGTCTTTTAGTGGAACTATCTGTTATCATTTCAGTACAAAATTTCCTTCCTTTGTGATGGGATATGGAAAAAATTTAGTATCATGATGTCAGTCCAATGCTGGCAAGGAAAATAAGTCTAAATCAACAACAGTCTTTCTTAATACTCAGTTTAGAAACTCTGTGTCATAAGGATGGAGATACTTTTTCATCAGGGAAAAAATGTGTTGAGTGCAGCTAAAAGGTTGAAATCCCTCTGGGGATGTTTTTATATGTGAGCCATGATCACTATTTCACATCATCTCACAGAGCTCCTGCTATCAGTCTTTCATATTTTTTTTCATTACATCTCCTTTGCTTATTAGGTGATTCCTCATGGCAGTGCCAAGATATCATTGACTTACAAGTACATGATCCATGAAGATTCCTTGAATGTAGATAATAATAATGTTTTGGAAGAGGATTCATTGTCATATGAATGGGCTTTGAAGAAATGGTCCCAGTGTTCAAAACCTTGTGGAGGAGGTAAAAACAAAACTTCAGATCATGCAAAATTTATTCATTGCCACAACACATTAGGGAGACCAGAGTACGAGAGGAGTTTTATTTAAGTAATAGATAAATAAATAGTGAATGGGGTTAAAATCTGACTTAAATGTTTTGGGGCAGATTGGAGCTGATTAATTTCTGATTTATGGTTATGAAACTGAAAAATTGGACAAATGTGCAAGATTTGGATGAGGGTCTCCAAACTGTGAAGATGCTGAACCTCAAAGTGCCATGGGGCAGCCCTTTGTAAATCCACATCCAGTGATGTGGCTTTTGCAATGTCAGGCTCCTTTTTGGGGCCAAATGTGAATGCTGATGCTGTTCCCCAGGCTGATGGTCGGGTTGCAGCACTGGATTGTGGCTAGGCAGGTTTGCAGAGTGTTTTTGAGTGCTGGATCTGGCTGTTATTTTTATTAACTATTATTTAAGTGTTATTTTCATTTTCATGGTGAGGCCGCATTCGAGTGCTGTGTCCAGTTCTGACCCCTCAGTTTGGGAAGGATGTTGAGATTCTTGAACATGTCCAGAGAAGGGCAACGAGGTTGGTGAGGGGCTTGGAACACAAGCCCTGTGAGGAACAGCTGAGGGAGCTGGGGGTGTTCAGCCTGGAGAAAAGGAGACTCAGGGGTGACCTCATCACTCTCTACAGCTCCTGAAAGGTGGCTGTGCTCAGGTGGGGTTGGTCTCTTTCTCCAGGCAGCAACAGACAGAACCAGAGGACACAGTCTCAAGCTGCACCAAGAGAAATACAGGTTGGATATTAGGAAAAAGTTTTTTTATGGAAAGGGTGATAAAGTACTGGAATTGTCTGCCCAGGGAGGTGGTGGAGTCACCATCCCTGGATGTGTTTAATAAAAGCCTGGATGTGGCACTCGGTGCCATGGTTTAATTGAGGTGTTAGGGCTGGGTTGGACTTGATGATCTTAAAGGTCTCTTCCAACCCAGTGATTCTGTATTTAAAGGAGTGAAAAATACATAGGGTGTGCAATTTGGGGGTGTTAAAATTGCATTGCAAGTCTTTATTCAGTGCAGCTTACCACTCCTTTGGTAGCATGTTCATCTGCAGTTCCTATTGCAACCCTTGACAGAATTTGTGCAGTTCCTCTGAAACTCGAGCCCTGTGGGAGATGTGCCAGCTCCCAGAGTAAGAGCAGTGTCTCTCCCCAGGCTACCAGTTCACCAAGTATGGCTGCCGCAGGAAGACGGACCACAAGATGGTTCATCGGAGCTACTGCGAGCTGATCCAGAAACCCAAACCCATCCGCAGGGTGTGCAACCTCCAGGAGTGCTCCCAGCCCATGTAAGCATCCCTGCCCCCAGCACTGCTCCCTGCAGGGATCACACCCAGCCAGCACTGTCCCCTCAAGGAAGGTGGCTTTAACTTCACCTTCATGGCCATTACAGAGACCCAGGACTGTGAGGATCTCAGGCTCTGTTCTGCTCATAGAAATATTCTTTATGGTTCCTTATGAAATAAGTTGTATTAGAAAAGAAGTGTTGTCCTGATCCAGACTTCTGTCTTCAGGCCATCTTGAGGTGATACAAAATAGACATAAATTCAATTTATATCAGTGGATTTTACACAGTGTGAGTTAACCACGTCAGAGTAAATGTACAAGAGTGCTGCAGAAGACAACCAGTGTCAATGTCCAGTCTCTCAAATCCAAATCTTCATAAAGTTCACAGAATATTTTTGGACATTTAAACACAGGGAAAATATTTGACCTGTTAAATTTCTCTGGCTGCCCTTGTACAGCATGAAATGCCTGTCGTACCTTCATTTCTGCTCCACTTAGTCAAGTGTTATAAATATTTTAATTCACATTTTACAGGTGATTTTTTTGACTGGCAGCAGGTTATTCCTGCCACATGTAGGACTAATATATTCTTTGTGCTACTACTGCAAAAAGAAAGGAATATGTTGATCCCAGCTTTTATCTCTGGGGACCGAGTGTAGGTTCCAGGAATCACAGCAAATAAATAGAACATACCACACAATATTTCCTAACTTCCTTTCAAAAAAAAAAAAAAAATTGAAAGAGAGAAAAGACAAGAAACTGTGCCCCATAAACCCTGCATGGGTCAGGGTTGAACGTTTATTTATTGGAAAACTGAAGTAATGACCTAACTGTACCTCAGGCTCTCTGGAAAGGACTGTATCCTCCTTTCAGCTGCAAATATAATTGGGCCCAGGTACCACAAAGGCTCAATAGGATCCTAAATTGTACTTGGATCCCTGAAGTTTCAGTTAGCTCTGTTTCCATAGAAAGTCATCCAAGCATTTTGGTCTTGGACATAGGAGAGGCAATTATTAAGGAGTTTTACAAAGCTCTGGGACACCCCTACAGTAATATGCTGCTTCACTTTTGGGAAAAACTCATCTTTGTCTCAGAAGTCACCTCAGGATTCCTGGTTTCACAGCTCTTGCATTTCTTCATAGCTGTGTAATTTCTGTAGGTTACAAAGAGAAAGCTGGGAGAAATTGTTACTGTCTGATTAACTGGAATATGTACTGCAGTGCCTTGTACTATTTTTTTTACCATTTACAAACCCGGGATTTTATGAGTACTTTAGGACAATTTCTTCAAACTCAGGGTGTTTCTCCAGGCTATGTCTATTTTTTGTTAAAGTTAATCCCATGAATATTGTTTACATGGAACAATATTTCCATATTGCAAATCTCTGCACTCTGTAAATATTTGTAGACTGCTGTATGTCTTCACTTAATTATAACCAAGCTTCCAGTAGTCTAGGTTAACTTCCTTTGGGGCTGTCTGTCCCTGTTGTTCTTCTCTAAGTCCTTTACAATTTGTACCTGTAATTGATGAGTTGGTTTGGGTGATTGGTGATGGTTTCAACTGCACCATATTACAAACCATAGATTTCATTTCTCAGTGGCCAAACTGATTTAGAAATTATGAACTCAATCTCTCTGGTTTTCAGTGGAGTGTTGCTTTCCCCCAAACCAAACAGTGATGATGATGAGGAGGACCCTGATCTGCCCAAGCTCAGCACTCAGAGCACTGGGTTTGCCAGTGCTTCAGCAGATTGAGCTTAACATGGCCAGGGATATGGTCCATGGAATGCCCAGATGTGGGCCAGGCAGGAGCTGCATTTCTAGCCCAGATGTGCTGTCTTCATTCATGTGGGAACCAGATACTGCATTATGAGACAAGGCACATCTCATGTGCCCAGACCTGGGAAGCTCAGCAGCACCCTTGGGTGGCTGCTTTTGACGTAAAGGTGGCCACATTTTTATGTGCAGTCTTGGAAAAGGCAGCTTAAATTCAAAACAAATACAGCAAAGTAACACTAATGCTTATCTTGGAGATAATGAGAAAGAGTAATATTGAAGGTCTGGGTCTTGTTAATGACACTTCAGGGACAGTCAAATAGCTCTCACTGTAACTGCTTATGTTTTTTTCATATCTTCTCATTTTCTCCATATTAGAACTAGTATTAACATCATGTTAAACCTGTGTTTAAGAGTTACAGTTCAACAGTTTGAATTTTACTCTGCTCATTCTCTTTTCACCAACCCAGATGGGTAACAGGGGAATGGGAGCCTTGCAGCAAATCCTGTGGGAAGACAGGGTATCAGGTCCGGTCTGTGCGCTGCATCCAGCCCCTGCACGACAACACAAATCGCTCTGTCCACACCAAGTACTGCAACAACGACCGCCCAGAGGGCAGGAGGCCCTGCAACAGGGAGCTGTGCCCAGCACAGTGGAGAATAGGATCCTGGTCACAGGTCAGTCTCTTTCTGGAGGTCTCAAACAACTAATTTCTGTCTGGGCAGATTGAGCATGACAAGTAATGCCACCCCTGTATTTGTGACTAGATGGCTCTGTGAATAGATGGCTCGCATGTACAGTTGTTTGTTTATTGCTCAGACCATAGCTCGTTCTTGGAGTATTTCACAATTACTGGTGTACCACAAGAAGCAGTGAGTGGCTCTCCCTTGTGCTTCATTACTGTAGTAAGCACTGGTAGTGCAGTGGTTCAAATAATGAACCATGTAATCTCAAATCAAAGGGCAGTTTAAAATGGAAAAGCTAACTTCTGATCTGTTGTTTCCAGAGGGTGGCTGGGGTGTAACTGCTGCCTGTCCTTTCAGTGCTCTGTCAGCTGTGGCAATGGCACCCAGGATCGCCCGGTCCTGTGCCGGACCAGGGACAATGCCATCGGCCTGTGCAAGGAGAGCAAACCAGAGACCGTCAGGATCTGCAGACTACCTCCGTGTCCCAGTAAGGGCTTCTCTTCAATACCTTCTGTTACTTGTTGAAAAAAAATAATTATTTAATTATTTACAATGCCTTCATTGAATTGACACTTGTGTGCTGCACCTGCCTGGGTGGGGCACCTCTCCATAGTCCCTGTTTTGAGTAGAATTCCAAATGTGGAGCTGCTGTATGGCCGATGGGCTTCTTGGGCACTCTTCTGCTGGGGAGCATTGCTTGGCCCAGGACTGCCTGAGAGCCTGGGGCAGCACAGTGGTGATGGCCAGATGTGGCCAGCAGCTGCTGGGAGAGGAGCAGAGCCTGAGTCCAGCCCTGCACCCCTGAGAGTAGTGGGGCTTGGCAAGGGCCAGCTGTTGGGGCTGCTGGGCTGCGGCTAACCAAGGATGCCCCTTTGCTTTCTCCGCCTCCACCAACAGTTCCAGGCTTCTTTTTCATTCCCTCAAACACAAGTTATCTGCAGGGGTTATCTAACTCTGTTTTTAGAAGCTGTAATTAATTTGTTCCTGCTTAATCCAGGGCAATAAGGCCTTTATCCTTGTTAGCTTTTCAGCTGTTTGCAAATGATACTTGTGAGACCATTTCACATATTCCTATTATTAAGTCATTCATATTTTTCTTTTTTTTTCCAGATGTATTTCTCAAGGTAGTTTTGATTTCTAATTAATTAGAAGCAATCTGTCAATTACAGTCTCAATACAAAGATTTTAATGAGGCACTGTAACTAAACTAGACTGCATGTCTCTGGGGATGTGTGACACTGCCATGAGAAGTGCTGCTGGAGAACTGGCCCTTGGGCTGTCTTCAGTGTTGGCTGTGAAGTGTTGGGCACGAGCTGTAGCAACCTCCCCAAACAGCACCTTTTGCCCAAAATCACACATCTTTGTTGTAATCCTTCCATGGGCTCCTTCACAACTGGAGCCCACTCACTCTCTGAGCTTGTCCCCTTCTGACAGGCCAACAGTTTAATGCTGCCTAACATATCTTGTGTTCCATCTTTCTTTTTTCCTCTATTCAAGGAAACGTTTCTGATCCTTCAAAGAAAACCTACATGATACAATGGCTGTCAAGACCCGATCCAGACTACCCCATCCAGAAAATATCTTCAAGTAAAAGACCCATTTATAACTCTGCCTTTGCCCTTAAATGCATGCCACATCGAATGTGGACTTTGCCTTTTGCTCTCTTCTTCTCTCTATGCGGAAAGTTCCCTTGACTTTGCCAAGTTTAAATCTTGGGCTGAATCTGTTTTTTCACACCAGGCACTCGGTGCTCGGTGTCTTTCTTCTCTGGAGCTTGCGTAGCACTGGTGGTGGAGGTCTTGAAGTGTTGGATGTGTGAAGTTGGATCTCCACAGTATGTTGCAGTCCTCTGAAAGGGAGCTGGGATCGGTTTGCTTGTTGCTTGGTGGTGGTGAAAAAAGGCTCGTACTGGTTCCTGATGTTCAGTTTGATAGCAAAACTGAGAACTTATTGTGAATGTGATCACATCACAATAATGACACCTTGTAGTGCTAAAGTTCTCCTTTATCTAAAAACCTGAAATCTCATAGCTCTCCAGCTTCAGTTCGCTGACAGGGTAGTCTGATGAGTGGAAGAATTTTTTTCATTCCATTTTCCTTTGTGGTGCTGTTGCTTTCCTCACCCTTGCTGCTCATTTTTTATTCCTGACCCTCACCTTTACGTTTGTGACCCGTGGAGGGCTCACTGGGAAGCAGAAGCTGAGTTTCTGTTGGTACTTTCCCTGCTCCTCTGATGCCGTTGCTCTCGCCAGACTCCCGGTGGTCGTTTGGAAGGTTTTTTTCTCGAGAAAAGCTGCATTCATTTTCTCCATCGCACAATTTTTGCCAGTTTTGCGCATTTTCACTTTAGAAACAAACCCAAAGCAGAACAGGCATGGTCCATGGTGAAGGTGGTGTGGTGGTGTTTCCCTGAACGTGGCGAAGGCAATAGGATGTTTTCATTGACTATGATGTCTCCAGCTGCTCAGCATGGAGCTGTTTATACTCATTCCATCTCTGGTCTTTTTTCACCATGTGCATGTCTGACTTGACTGGTACGGTTGTGTGTGCGTGTGTGTGCGCGTGTGTGCTCTTAGATGTGTCAACTGGCAAACATAACAGTGTGAACTACTACAGAATTACCTCAATTTTTATTGCTTTTTTTGCTTAGGAGATGAATTTTAGAAAAATGCCTTAATGTTGAAATGTAAATGGCATTAATTTATCAGATCCAGCTTTAAATATGAACAGTACACTGGTACCTTGAGTTAATGTTCATATGGAGTGTTTTTACTTGAATGATAACTATTGGAAGGCAGTAAATTAAAATGGAGGTTGATTTGCACAGTGCATATCCATATCTTCATTGAGACAGGATTGTGGCCTGACTTACTGAAATTTAACTGGCATTCGTGCTTCACCTTCCGTGTTTGTGTTGAAGACTTGGAATTCAGAAGTCATAAACTTCTTTGTGACAGTCAGTACCAATAGTAGAAATGTAAAACTGCAGTCTTGGAGCAAATTACTACCTTATTGCTTTGATAATATTTTTTGGAAAAGTGGCATTTTTGAATCTTTGGGTCGTCAACAGTGTAGCACTTCAAACTTGTCATTATCATGTGATCACATATTTAAATTTTGCTGTTAATATTTCCTGAAACATGTTAACAATTTACATGACAAGGTGAAAAAGCAAAGACACGTATCTGGCACTGAATACTGTTATGTAAAATAATCGGTGTTTAACTGTATAAATATATTCATGACTGTTACCTTTAAATAGACAATGTTTAGTGATGTTTCAAGAGATGGGTGGCTATAGAGAATGGTGCAATAAGGTATCTGGGCATTGTGCACTATGTCTATATGCACTTTGGTTTATCAGGGATATTTTATTAGTGTTTTGTATGTATTTAACATAATATTAAAGATGTGCCAATTGAGTTTGCTTTTCAATATTTTTTTATGAGACTAATGTGTACCAAAGTGACTGTGAAACTGATTTATTTTTTTCTTACTGATGTTTTGAATATATACTTCCAGTCTGTCATGCATACTGCAAGTAAAAATAAATAAAAGTTCAGCAAATCTGGATATTTTGGTTTGGATAGAGGATCAAATTTCATTCTGGCATTGAGAAGTTGCAGAGTTTGTTTATATGACTTATCAGATGTCACTAAACTTATTACATAATGCAGTTTTATTTCCATGTATTGTTAAGCTTGACATTGCATATTTTTGTTAGGAAAAAAGGCATTTTTCTAAAGGTGCTGTTACTGATTCTTACAAAGCCAAGAACAGACTGGCCTTGTTAAAATCACATTTAAATATTATATGTGTTGGCTTTTATTATGGAAGCCATTTGGAGGAATATGCATAAGGGTCATGCATCACAAGGCAAAATGTTCAAAGGGGATTCTTATGGGGCATGTTAAAATATATATAAATTGTATAGGCACATTCAGGCCTTTGTATGGAGCTGTGCATGCAGGTATGAACAGTTCCAGCTCTTAAGGGCTGGTTTGAAAATCTCTCCAAAACCAAGGTACTATTCTTATGTTCCTAAGGAAGGAGTCATTCCTAATCTCCAGCAGTATTTCAGCTTAGTATTTGAAAAATATGAAAAATACCTGGCACATTCTAAAGTAGGAACTAGAATTGTGCTTTTCTGCAACAAAAGCAATAACCAGAGCATAGATACAAGGTACAGGAGGTGTTTTCACCCGCCTCAGCCAGCACTAGCACATTAAGGCAGCAGCACCAGCTATTAGTTTATTTTAGACTGATATGTTTGCCAATGAAACACCCACGATGCCCGGTTTTGTTAACTGAGGATGAGTGAAGAGGTGGCACCCACGCTTTCCAAATCCCCTTGGCATCGCTGAACCTGCTTTGCTTCTCTCCTTTGCTGTGAGGTGCTGACACAAGCCAGTGCTCGTAGCAGGAGGGTGAAATGTGACTCCAGATCAGGCTGGGAATGCTGTCTCACATCGGGTGCACTCTAAATAAAAGCAAGTAATTGGAGTTACTCACCCTTTACTGTAAGAGTTGGTGGAAATGTGGTAAGAGCAGGGGGAGAGTGACAAGTGATTTCATCTCAGTCTCAGCACTCTGGTCACAGAGAAGATGTTTTACTAGTGGTGATGCCAGGTGTCGGTCAGTCTGCTTTTCTCCTCAGCCCTCTCCCACAAACCTCTGACTCCTCTCTCAGCATGGGCTGCATGTTGGGATTTTTCCTTCACTGCAGAGCCTGGCTCCATTATTTTATCCTGGAGGTGCAGGAGCTGAGGGGTGTCTGTGTGGGACAGAGGACAGGCAGCTTCCTCTCCAAGGAGCCTGTTAGACCCTCACTACCCATTTCCCACCAATTCATACAGTCCTGTGCCTCCCCTGAGCAGAAATCACAAGGGCTTGGGGAATCTCTGAGTAGGCTTCTGTTTATGTTTCTCAGGCAGGAACACTTTGACCACTTCACCTTTAATGCCTCAGCCAACAATTTGCCACCTGCATTTGAGCATGATCAGGATCTGCCATAACATCTCTATTATAGTGCAGATTGTTTTAACAGCTATTGACAGCTTAAAGCTTATCGATTGTCATTCTTTCTATTTTATTACAGTCATTGACACAAAAATCAGGACTTCTACTGAGTCTCCCAGTCATTACTGAGCTGGCTTGGCTCCATTGCACTGGAGTTTGTTGTTCCAAAGATATCAGCTCCCTTCTAGGAGGAGCAGAAAAGCCTCATGGCACCACTTTTCTCTCAAACAAGAGTCATGCTGAGAAAACTGCTATTTTCAGAGTAGGGGTACCTGGCAACAATATCACTCCGATTAGTGGAGTTGGATTAATTCTGAGAATTACACACATCGAAATAAGACTTGACATTCCTGAGACAGTCTGGATAAATATATGTTACCCCTGACTGTGGTTAGTCACTGTTTGGTTGCAGAAAAGCATTAAAAGGAGCAAATAGGGAAAAATAGATTTCTTAATATAAAACTTCATGACTTTGTGGGAGTTCAGAGCAGTTTTAGCAAGAACACAGCACAGTCAGTGTGTTTTGAAGTTTGAGCCAAGACAGTAACACAATTCATTGTGGCTTCACGGTCTTCAGGGTATAGCTTCCATGATGTGAAGGCAAAAATTCAAGTATGATGGTCTAGAGCTTGGATGGGGCTGGTACATACAGTTCAGATCACCTTTTGCAACTCTTGGAGTTGACTTTTAGGTTGAATATAAGCCTGCTTCTGCTTGTAGAAGGCTCATTTGCCAGTTTCCCAACCCACTTTAAATATCAAACCCTCTGCCCACTGCCAAAGCTTCAGCTGTGTTTCTTTTTCTGCTTAATGTGAAGATGCTCTTTATTTATCTGTTCCCTTTTTCTCTTTCAGAAGATCATTGTCAAGGAGACAAGTCAATGTTTTGTCGCATGGAAGTTCTCTCCCGTTACTGCTCCATTCCTGGGTACAATAAGCTGTGTTGCAAGTCCTGCAACACCTACAGCAACGTAACAGAGGACGGCAATGTAACCAATGCCAATGTAAATAAGAATAATGTCATTGAGGAGGAGCTCCTGACAACCCCCAGCCCTCCTGTGGGAGTGTCCACCACACAATCTGCCACCAGCCCTCCTCTGCTTTCCAAAACACGTGCACCCCCTTCCAATGCAACTGAGGAGCACCCAGAAATCAATGCAGTGGATGTTCCCTACAAAGTTGATGGGTTGGATAACGAAGTACCACAGCACAACATCATTACACGGAGGAGGCCTTATGAAAGGACAAGGAATAAAAGAATTCAGGAGCTGATCGCTGAGAAAATGAAAAAAGAGACTCTTAGGAAAATAAACTAAAATGGAAATATGGCACAAACAACATTTTTCTCTTATAGAGATGTTACAAACATCATAGTATTGGCCATTGTAGAGACTAAGAATGGGGAAAAATCAAAGTGGTGCTATGGCAGAGATACCAAATTCTCAAGCCTACTATAAATGGAAATGACAGATTGTTTTATAAGTGCTAATCTGACCACTTTGATGGCTAGGTTAGGTGTACAGGGTATGGCAGAGTGTTAGTGCAATATCCCTACAGTGTCCCACTGAATCCAAACAAACCATGGTACTTAGGTCAGGTTGGCAGGTTTCTCAGTTACAGGCTTTTTAAAGTCTTCTATGCCTATGTAAAACTGCTTGGGAATAGTAATGGGAGTCACGCTTAGTATGGCAGAAAGCAGTCCCAAGACATAATAAATCCCTTTAACTCTGACAAGCAGGGGGTCAGCACTCCTGTGATGCTTCTGTGCCTTGCACAAACTCTGGCACTAACACAGCCAGCTTTGGGAAGGCTCCTAGGACATGCCAGGCTTGGTCTGGCTGGCCTGGGCAGAGCTGCCTCTGTGCTCACAGCTCAGCATGTGCTCACGTAGCTTCCTGGGCCAGGACTGGGTAAGAAAGTACAGAGAAAATTCTGTAGCCGTATATTTATGTGTAAATTAAAAACTGACAAACAGTAGTTTACATACTTCCATAAACAATTTCAAAGGATTCTCCTAAACTTTTGGACACATGCAAGACATTTAGTAGGGTAGATCTGGCCAACTTGGACTGACAATATCCTAGTCTTTCTGTTTACAATTATCCATATTTTTAATAATCTTTAAGTTTCTGTAATGCAACAGCCTCAGTGATCCTTATTGGTTGGTGCTTTTTTTATTGGTTTGATTTTTTTTATTACCCACATTCTGTTTAACTTAAAGATGACTGGATTCTTGTTGTCTTTTCTTTGGTGCTTTGATAAGACAAACTTTTTTTTTCCCCCACACAGGATGCAGTTAGTTTTGAGGAATTAATTTTGTATTATCTTCCTTTCCTTAGGACAGCTTTATTGGTGCAGAAGTGAACAACTGTTTGCTGTGCCCTTACATGAACACACACACACATGTGTGTATTCACAGCACCAGGTCTGCTAGAAAACTTTAAGATGTGTAACCTGACAACCCTTTGAGTACTTTTTTTCCCCTCAGGGTCATCACAGTTTTCATAGATCATTTTGAATTCCTGGTTGGAGAACAGAAGATGAACTCAGCTTGGCTCTAACACTGCTGAGACAGGGAGCATGGGCTGGTTCCTGCTGTGGGTGGCATCTGAGTAGATTTTTTCCTGGCTTGGATTCTTCAATTTGTTTCTTCTTTGCTGGTAAATCTCCTGCAGAGCCCGGGGCTTCCCTGAAATCCTCTCTTTACCACTAGGTAGGTTTGGTGGCTCCAAGTTCATATTTTCCAGTCTGAGAGGAAGATCTCACCCTCCAGCCTGAGTTGGTCCTTGTTTGAAGCAGCACCAGCAATAAGCCCGTATATAGAGTCACAAAATTATTGGGAATGTGCTGCATTCCCAGCAATGTCCGAGCTCTTCTCTGGCCCAGCTGCTGGCAAAGAGCTGCACAGGTATTGCAAGGGGAAGCATATGTGACTCCCTGTGACCTGCCTTCTGCCCTTGCCCACCAGGACTGAATGAACTGCCCAGTCTTCTTTTCCAAACAAGCCATTCCTGCTGGAAAGGAGGCAAGAGCCTGCAGGAACCTCAGGCTTTACAGCACTTACATGTGGGACTTTTTTGGCCTGAACTAGGGCCAGAAGTTTTTGATACACAAGCCTGGTTTAAGAAAAATTCTTCATGGAGATACTAGCCCAAGCAGAGAAGGAATATTTTCAGCTGGGGTTGTGGCATCAAATGCCCCTTCTTACACAGGACCAAGGAGCACCTCAGTGCAGGGATGAAAGATACACTGAAGACCAGGAAAGCTGGGAAGTCCAACAGGCCTGCTAAGAGTCCAGAGCATTAGGAAATACCTCCTGGGCCAAGCAGACGTGGCTGCAGATGTGGAAGCAGCAGCCAGCACAAGCAAAAATCAGTTCTGCTTTGGAGAAGTAAAACTCAGGCTGTGCAGTTTGGCAGCACAGTGGGAAGAGTTCCACCACAGATTTTCACTCCTGGGACACGGAGTGTTCTCCTGCAGTCAAAGGGTGCTTGTCCTTGGTGCCCTGTCCCAGCCCTGCTCCATGACCTGCTGGCTGTCACACGACCAAGGTGTGCAGGCAAGCCCCAGGAGCCTCGTGCCAAGGGATTTGTGGTTGCCTACAGATGGGACAAGTTTTAATAACAATGTAGGGTCAGGTCACATGTGTGCACAGCAGCAATGTGTAATGAGCATTGAAGGGAAAAAAACCCACCATTCTATTTATAAGTAAGGAAGAAGTGTCTAAATCAACATCATTCCAGCTGCTGTGCCATGGGAGACACAAGCTGCAGCCAGGCTCCCAGCCTGTAGTCATAGTATTTCTTGCCTTCCATGTTTCCTTTACACAGATGTGGTTAGTATAAAACTCATCTTTTCCCCTTCAAGTTAATATCCTTTTAGCTCTATGGACAATAAAAATAAACCACAACCCCCAGCTTTTTCATAGACTAGGGAGCTCATCCAAGCATGTGAAACTTAGGAAAAGTTTTTACAAACCCAAAGATAGAAAGGGTTAGAGCTGGATTTACGCAGATGGGGAGGTAAATTTTACTGCCTGGAGGGTACCAGTTTTATCCTCTGGGACTTTTTCAAGACCTTTTTCTCTCATCTCCTGAGGGAACTCATCTAATAGATTCTGTTCTGCCCTAGCTTCTGGAATAGGCTTAGTCAATCAGGCAGTGTGAAAAAATACCACAGGAGACAGTGCTCACAGCTCAAAAAAGCATTTTTCCAAATAAAGTGAAGAGTTCTGCTGTCTCAGGGAGCAGGAACAGCCTCCTGGAAGGTTAGTCTGGTGCTTTGTTAGGTCCAGTGTTCATTAGGAACCCAGTGCAATGCCTGGTGGCATCTGCATTTTGGAATGGCTTGTTCCCTTCTCAGTCTTGCCTTTTAGGAGATTTAATTTGATTTGTTTCTCGATGGTTTAAATTCTACTGAATATTTCTCCAGCTGTTTTTTGGGAGGAACACTAAACTACTTGAAGCAGCAGCTTCAGTCTACATTGCTCAAGATATTGAGAGGTTGATGGACCATTTCTTTAAGGAGCAGGAGCCGCCAGCTGCCTTCTCTTCACACTCTTCCTGTATGAGAAGGGGAGAAGTTAAGTCTCTTCAGACCAGAAAAGATGCCTCCTTTTCAAGCTGCCATGGGTTCTTCAGAAGGTGGGTTTTTTTCAGCAGTTCCCCAAGAATGTGTACATCACTCCTACTGGAAAACACAACACCAGGCTCTATTGATAAAGAAAAAGCAGCCCCAGACAAAGGGTGGAGGTTTGCTCTCCTGAGCTGATCTCATTTCTGTGTCATACAGTGGAAAATTTGATCATTTTTTTGTTTGGTTGAACTTTGACAACGATTTCATCTTCTCTACAATGATGTAATTGGCCAAGAGCATCATCACAGTGGATCTTCTGTAAGGGGTTTGCTGTTGCTCAGGTGCTACATTTTCAGACATAACAAGCAGAAAGCAATATTTTAATGTAACCTAATCCCCAGAAACTAAAGCAGGTTTATAAACAAATATATCCCTGCAGAGACCATCTCAGAGATCTGAGAGATAATGTGCTCCCACAAAGCAATGTATTTATGATCTAACCTTGCAGGTACAGTTTTCTCAATTGTCATTTTCTGGTTGTCTAAACTTAAAATCCGAATGACAGCCTCTCATGAAAAAAAATCCCAAACAAATTCTGGTTTATTTTTCTTCAGTCATCTGCCATTTTTTTTCACCATCATTTCTTTAAAAATTTCTGTTATCTATTATGAACGCATCACTTTTTATATTCATATATTCATTCAATATTTAGAGTCTCACAACACCTCCATAGAATGCTTTCAGATATTTTGAGAATTCTAGAAACGGTGCTTTACCAGTACTCAAAGGGTTTTTTTAAATTTTATTACATAATGCATTTAATTCTTATTTACTCACCTACAATGCACAGTATTAGCTATGTTCATCTGAATATCTATATGCATCTTCCATTCACTTACATATGCCTTAACAGAAATTGCAATAAATAGCCGTTTCTTGTATATTAAAAATGTATATACAACTTAGAATCTTTAATTTTATAATTTATTAAATTCAAATGTCTGTGTTCTTTTGCAAAAAAAAAAGTGTTTGGCTTTTCCCTGTGCTTTTTTCATTGAGTTTATGTTACACAGAGATGCTAGAGGAGGAAGAAACAGGATTTTCAGATTCAAATCCAATTCAATTTCCACAACTTAATGAAGTGGGATGGGGATACACTTGCTGCCGAAGTCCTACATCCTTGTTACAACATCCATTATCCAAGGCTAAATATCATGAAGTCACTGGACCAAAACCTCATTTGATAACTGCACAGAAATTAATCAAACTCACTCAAACCTGCTTGAGGCTCAAATCCATCCTGGTCCATGTATCATCTTTTTAAAAGCTCAGTTATCTGGGCTTCTATTCAGGACTGATGAGTGAATTCTGCTTTGCATGTCCTGTTGATAAAGTAATTGCTCCTTTCCATGAAATTCTTTTGCACACATTCTCCTGCCGTATCCTGCACATGCGTAACTGGGTTGCCTTTGAAGCATAATTGAATCTTTCTCATCTGATTGAAGTTTGTTGCTTGAGGATTTGAAAGATCCCTGCTTACTGTGATTATTCAGTGAGCACCATGCAGTGCATTCAAGTCCAGCATTCTTTAATCAGGTAACAAGCCACCTCAACACTTTCCATCTGGAAAATAATTTACACACTTAAATGCCCCCATGAAACAGTGGACAAGCCCAAACCTGATGTTCATTTACTGTGATAATTCATGCAGCATTTAGAGCTGTGACAAGGGTTATATTTAATTGCCTTTTGCTTTCAAAGATTTTGAGATTTTTAGAGTGGCCATGGCAAAAGGTCTCACCTCCACACCCCAGACACGAGGGACACCCAAGGTGGGGTCAGTCATGTCCAACACCTCTCCCTCTCCCT